TTACTGGCATCCCATCCGGTCCCTTGAGCACCTCTAGGAGTTATTCCCCAGTGCAGAGCCAGGAGTAACTCCTGTCTATCACCGGGTGTGACCCAAAAAGCAAAAAGCAAAACAAACAAAAAAAGTTGTCTGAGATGAAAGAAGAACCCTTGATGGGGTCTGGGGTGGGGTGGGGAATTAGAGCCTGAAGTGGGAGACACTGCCTGGTGGAGTTTGGGGTGTCAAGTGTGAACACTGAGGGGAATCTTAAAGTAGGACTAGCTTGGGGCTTGAACTTACAGGACATGGTAGAAATCGTGAATCACGGCTGGAGCGATAGCACAGTGGGTAGGGCATTTGCCTTGCATGCAGCTAACTGGGTTTGATTCCCAGCATCTCATAGGGTCCCCTGAGGACTGCCAGGAGTAATTCCTGAGTGCAAAGCCAGGAGGAACCCCTATGCATTGCCAGGTGTGACCCAAAAAGCAAAAAGAAAAATTGTGAATCAAGGGACTCTGAAACATGGTCTGGGGTGCCAAGATCTGAAAGGAGAAATTAGCAGACTGTGAAACCAGTTGGGTCCAAGCATGGAATTAGGAGGATCCTAAGAGCTTAATTTTTATCTTGGTCCTGAGCTCAGGGTAGTGCTTATTTCTCATCTGCCATGCCAAAGGGGGAGATGGTAACCTTGATCGAGACAGCCAAGTGGAGGTGTCCGAGGGGGTTCAGAGGATAGGGATGTGACTGGAGCCAAGATCTGAATCGGAGGCTCAGTGACACCATCAGCCGGGCCCTGTTTTTCACGTTCTGGGGAGACAGACGTGACTGGCGCCGCGTGGGGAAGACCTTGATGAGAGGTGAGGTATTTTTACTGACCCTGGCAGGCATGGACAAGGGCAGGGACAAAATTGGAACTGAACTCCGGGGAGGTTGTGGCAATCATCGGGCGGCAGGGGTGAGAAGCTGTCTTTGGCGAGCCGTGCAACTGGCCAAACTAGTGCATAGAAGAATCCATGTCAAAGATGTGGAGCAATTTACTGTCTGAGTCAAGCTGCCACGGCACTGAGAGGCGGCAAATCTGGCTCAGCGTGGGCGCTTCTCGAAAGTTCTCAGCTCTCTTAAGAGGCCTTCTGCAAGGGGAAGGAGCACTGGAACAGGACAGCAGGAGAAACCAGCTTTGAGGGATGAAAAAGAGGAAAAAATGGGTACATTGCATCTGGGATCTGGTGGCAAGACATTACGGTTCATGGGGCTGGAGTGATAGCACAGAGGGGAGGGCATTTGCCTTGCACGCGGCTGACCCAGGTTCGATCCCCGGCATCCCATAGAGTCCCCGAGCACCGCCAGGAGAGATCCCTGAGTGCAGAGCCAGGAGTCAGCCCTGAGCATCCCAGTGGGATCCAAAAAGCCAAATAACAACAACAACAGCAACAACACCAACAACAATAATAAAAAAGGAAGGGGGCCAGAGTAATAGCACAGCAGGGAGGGCACTGGCCTGGCACACGGCCAACCTGGGTTCGATCCCCAGCTTCCCATAAGGTCTCCCGAGCACGGCCAGGAGTGATTCCTGAGTGCAGAGCCAGGAGTCAGCCCTGAACATCGCTGGGTGTGACCCCAAAAACCAAAAAAAAAATTTATGTTTCATCTCTGTCCTTAGGTGGAGGAGGCTAATAGACATTTAAATGAGTCTCTGGTTAATCGGCGATTTGCTCGAGCGGGCGCCAGTAACGTCTCCATTTGTCCCTGTCGCGTGCTAGTGTAGCCCAATGGCGTCTGTTTGTTCTAGGAACATGAAGAGCCTCAAACCGATCGTTCATGGTCTTGATGAAGAAGTCTGACCATCTGGTAGGTGGGCGGCCACGTGGTCTTTTGATATTCCGTGGAATCCAGTCGGTGACGGCTCTAGTCCAGCGGTCGTCTCTAAATCTCATTACGTGACCAGCCCGTCTGATTTTTGACGCCTTGGCAAACGAGACAGCGTCCCTGATTCTTGATCGTCGACGGAGGTTGGAACTCCGGATTCTTTCTCTCATTTGAGTGAAACGTGATATTCCAAGCAATGCAACAATGCAGCATCAAAGTCCAAATAATCTCTCGAGAATACATGAATACATGGAGAACTATGATTGTGGGGTTCACTAGTTCAGGGGGTGCCTTATTGAATCCGCATACACCTTGGGGACTATTGGAAGCTCACAAGTCTTTCCTCAACTTTCCCATCTGATTCCAGAGACTTGTTACTCTCCTGACATCAGTAAAGAGTGAATTTTTTTTAAATTTTTATATGTGTGGAGAGCATAGCAAGCTCTCCGTGGAGTATTTGATATGCCAAACACAGTAACAATAAGGCTCACAATGGAAACGTTACTGGTGCCCGCTCGAGCAAACTGATGAACGGGAGGACAGTGCTACAGTGCTACGGTTTGTGGATCACAGCCAGAGATGCTCAGGGGTTCCTCCTGGCTCTGCACTCAGGGATTGATTACTCCTGGCGGTGCTTCGGGGACCCTATGGGATGCCGGGGATCGAACCCGGGTCGGCTGCGTACAAGGCAAACGCCCTATCGGCCGTACTATCGTTCCGGCCCCAAGAGTGAATTTTCAAAGAGTGAAAAGCAGGATTCCGGAGTGAGCTAACGCACGAACAGTTAGTGTTAATAGTTGTTGGAAGGAGTTTAATGTGGCCTGGGATTTTTGAGACGACAAAGAGCAGCTGAAGGCCAGAAAGCATAAGAGGTGACAATCACGGACAGTCTGATATGTGAGTAGATTTTGGTGCTTTCCCTGTTGACAGGAGGTAGAAGGAGGGGTGGAAAAAGAAAGTACAAGATTTTCTTTTTATTTTTGGTGGTTAGGGAGCGCCCAAAGCTCTTTTATTGACGATATATTTTTGTTTATTTATTTACTTATTTATTTACTTTGCTTTTTGGGTCACACCTGGCGATGCTCAGGGGTACCTCCTGTCTCTGCACTCAGGAATCACTCCTGGCGGTGCTCGGGGGACTATCTGGGATGCTGGGAATCGAACCCGGGTTGGCCTCATGCAAGGCAAACGCCCTACCCGCTGTGCTATCGCTCCAGCCCCTATTGACGATATAACATTGGGCTTACTACTTTGCCTTTTCAGAACCCATTTTCTCTTTTTCAAATAGAGAATCGGATACGTATTTAATAAGACGGTAGTATATATTCAGTGAAAGGACATATGAAAAACATTGATCCATTGATCCATAGCTTCCCGTAAGAAGAACGTGGAAAATCTAAATAATCTTTTTTTGCTTTTTTTTTTTTTTTTTTGCTTTTTGGGTCACACCCGGCGATGCACAGGGGTTACTCCTGGCTCTGCACTCAGGAATTACTCCTGGCGGTGCTCAGGAGACCCTATGGGATGCTGGGAATCGAACCCGGGTTGGCCGCGTGCAAGGCAAACGCCCTACCCGCTGTGTTATCACTCCAGCCCCTCTTCTGCTATTTTTCTTGATGCTTCTTTCACCATTGAGATACTCACAATTCCTGTCCTACTCTGTACAGCCTCTTGGGGACAGCACATGTGACTGGTATATAGAGACAAGATATATGGGGGTAGGGAGTGATAGCACAACAGGGAGGGCATTTATCTTGCACTTGGCAGACCAGGGTTCGATCCCCAGCATTCCACAGGGTTCCTGGAGCACTCCTAAGAGTAATTCCTGTGGAGGCTGGAGCAATAGCACAGCGGGGAGGGCGTTTGCCTGGCGCGCAGGTGACCCGGGTTCGATCCCCGGCATCCCATAGGGTCCCCCAAGCACCGCCAGGAGTGATCCCTGAGTGCAGAGCCAGGAGTCAGCCCTGAGCATCGTCGGGTGGGACTCCAAATAAAGCAAAAAAAAAAAAAAAGAAAAAAAGAAAAAAAGAAATTACAGTGTCCCTCAGATACCGGGGAAAAAAGAGAATCAAATCTGAGTCAATAGCCGTTGGGAGTTCAGAAGGTGGAAAAAAAAAAAGTGATGCGCGGGGAATTTGAGTGCGGTGACCACTGGGTGGAGGGGGCTGGGGGGCGTTATTTTCCGAGATGCACGTAAGCTGTCTTGACAGAAGACAGAATGCACCCTGCAGAGACTCGGGGTGGGGGGGGGAAGCTGGAGGGGAGCACGGGATGTCTCCAAGGACAGCGGGATTCATGCAAATCCTCCCGGGAGGAACTGCGTTTGCTTCGCTGTGCAGCGTCAAGCCATCTGATCGAGCACAGGCTGAATACTGTAACATAACCCGCGTGGAAAAAAAAAAAAAACCCCAAACCAAAACCCCCCCACCCCCAGGGGAAAAAAAAAAAAACCAGCCAAGAACGGGTAACTGCGGTAGCCGCAGAGCCGCAATGACTCCGGAGCTGACTAGGGCAAACGCAATTTTCTTTGCACGCCGAAGGGGAGAACGAGACACTGTGCGCCCGAAGACGCTGCAATTCCCAGACTTCAAGTTCATCCTTGTCGGAGCCCCCCGCAGCCCCGCAGCCCCTTTCCTCTGGCGTGGGGGGTGAAATGCGCAGCCGGGAGGCCCAATTAGCGTTAGAGGGGGCGCGGGGGGTGGGGAGGGAGGTCTCCTCTGCGGATCTCTCCTTTTCTCGCCGCCTCCCGGAGGAGCCTCCGCCACTCCCAACATGGCGCCCCGGAAGGCGGCCGGCCCGGCGCCTTTAAAGGGCCCGCCCTCTCCGGCCACACTCAACATGGCCCCGCGCGGAGGCCGCATTCCCGCGGCAGGTCTCGCGGGAGTTCCCGCGCGACTTGCCCGGGCCCGGCCCGCTCCCGCCCTGCCCCGCGCCGCCGCCTCAGCCGCTGCCGCCGGCGCCGCTCCTCCTCCGTGTCAGTCGTTGGGCCGTAATGGCGACCGGGTCGCCGCGGCCGGAGTGACTCCCGGGCGGGGGCGAGCGCGCCGCGCCGGCGGGGACCGCGGAGAGCCGGGGCGGGGCGGGGCGGGGCGGGACGGGGCGGGGAGCGGCGGCGGCCGGGGCGTCGCGTCGCGTCGCGTCGCGCGGAGCCCGGAGCCCGGAGCCCGGAGCCGGCGGCGGGGAGGCCCGGCCGGGCAGCCGTGGGGGCCGGCGGCGCCGCACCCTCCGCCAGGCCCCGCGGGATGCTCCGTGGGAGCCGAGGGCGGAGGCGACACTCTCAGGTGAGCCGCCGCCTCAGTCCGGGTCCCCCGCTGGCGGCCAGCGAGACGGCGGGGCGGGGCGGGGCGCGACCCCGCGGCTGTCGAGGGGACCGTGAGGGGACAGCGCTGAGGAGATGGGGGGGGCGGGCTGGGCGCGACCCGGCGACTGCGAGGGGACAGCCCCGAGGAGGGTGACCCGGGCTGGGGCGCCCCCGATCCCGCGGCGGTGAGGAGGGGACAGCCCTGAGGAGATAGCCCTGAGGAGATCGGGGCCCGGGGCGGCCGCGACCCGGCGACTGTGAGGGGACCCTCGTGAGGGGACAGCCCTGAGGAGCGTGACCCGGGCTGGGGCGTCCCCGATCCCCGCGGCTGTGAAGGGGGACCGTGAGGGGACAGCCCTGAGGAGATCGGGACCCGGGGTGGCCGCGACCCCGCAGCTGTGAGGGGACCCAACCCTGAGGAGACCCGGGCTTGGGTGGCCCCGGCCTGAGGGGGCTCTGAGGGGACTGTGGGGGGGGGGGACACAGCCCTGATTAGACCCGAGCTCCGCCAGGGTCTGCACCGGCTGCACCTGCCCGCGCCGCCGCCCCTCACCTCTGCGAAGGACGCAGCCCCTCTGCCCCCCTCAGCATCACGGTCCCCCCGTTCCTGGGGAAATTCCTGGCTCCCCGTGATCAGGGTGATGACGAGTTTCTCTTCCCTTTTTATTTTTTATTTTTTGCTGGGGATAAACAGCTCCAGTGTCGGGGAAAACTGATCTGCAGCTCCCGAGTGTGTGTGTGTGTGTGTGTGTGTGTGTGTGTGTGTGTGGTGTCCCTCCCCCCAGCGCGTCCCCCATGGATGCACCCGCCACCCAGGAGCGCTGCAAAGTTGTCAGGCTCTTTCCCCACCCGCCCCTTGTTGTCATCGGCTCCCCCCACCCCCCCCACCCCAAGCCGCCCCTGCCACCCGGTGGGTCGCCAGTGTCACAAAACAGGGACTCGGAATCCGTCTCCGTTGTCTTTCAGGCGTTTGGCATAGCGAGCTTGCCCATCCGTGTAGATTTTAATTTTTTTTTGGGGGGGGCAAGCAAAAATTAAAACCCCAACTAAACAGAAGCCAGCAGGTTGTCAAGAAGAGTGATCAGTCCCCACGGTCTCTCCCCGCCCGGGTGTTTGGTTTCCGTGGCTTGTTTTGAATGGGGGGGAGGGGGGGGAGAAAGTCGTTAATGATTTGTGTTGCCATGTTAACCAGCCCGGCTCCTGCGCTGTCGTGGATGGGTTTCGGGGAACGGCGGTTGCAATAGGCAGAGCGGGGAGCAATCAGGAGCGGCTTGGGGGGGAGCCGTGATGGACTGTGGAAGCCTTGCCTCCTCTCCTCCCAAGCCTACCCCCCTTTGAAAACATGTTTAAAAATATTGTTTTAAAACTAGGTAGCATTGTCGGATCTGGGGTAGAAGTTGGTACAAACCCAAGGGTGGGGAATCATGGCTTATTATTATTATTATTATTATTAATTAGCTTTTGGGGTCATAGCCTGCAATGCTCGGGGGTTCCTTCTGACTCGGTGCTTAGGAATTACTGCTGGTGGTGCTCTGGGGACCCTACAGGATGCTGGGGATTGAAACCCACATTGGCCACATGCAAGGTAAAAATGCACTCTTTGCTGTCCAATTGCTCCAGCCCTAATCATGACTTTTAGTGGGCTAAACGGACCAGCTTACACCCTAGGTGTAAGAAACTCCCCTGGAGCCATGAAACTGTCATGGCATGGAAGATACTTTGATCAGACAGTAAACATCAAGTTTGAATACATTGTATGTATGGAGAAATACTTGTGTGTATCATCTTTTCTTAGAGCTGGACTTTTTTTTTTTTTTTTGGTCGTGATGATCAGTTTCACAGCTATGTGGATTTCTCTGATTGAGATGCCCTGGGTGTGTAGAATGTGTGTCCTTAATACTCTGATAGCCTTAGGAAGTAGAACGTTCGGAGGTTTCTTTTTTCTCCAGGGTGCTGCTGATCACCACCTTTGGAGCATCTTGGGGGCATTCCTGCTATGTCAAGGATTGAGGAAAGATGCAGTTCCCCACAACCCATCTTGTGACTGGTGAAATTGCTGCAAGTTACAGTGGGAGTGGAGGAGCGCCCTTTTAAAATAACTGACATTAAAAAAAAATGTAATTTGGGGGCCACACCTGATTCTGCACTCCAGAATTACTCCTGGTGGGGATCAGGGGACCCGGTGGGGATCAGGGGACCCGGTGGGATCCGGGGATCAAACCGGATGCATGTAAGGCCAACACCTTGTTAGGTAGGTGTGCGCTCAGTCTTCAGAGCACTCTCACCCTCTTAGTTGTAGTGACTCAGTAAGTCAGGAAGTTGACTACTTCTGTGAATATTTCTCTTCTTTGTGCAGATGATCTAGAACAGACACTCCCAAACTTATTAGGTCTCCTGCCCCCTTTTCTGAAAAGCCAGAAATAAAGCCAAGTAAACCACCCGGCAAACCCCTTGGGAAACCACCCCCCAAATTCTAGGGATAGGGAAGCCCATTCTGGAGAAAATTTGCTCTAGAGGTCTTTTATTTGGGGGTGGGAGGGGAGTGTTTCAAATTATTTTTATTTGCATAATTTCTTTTTTATTGAAGGGTGATTGACTTGCAACAGTTTCATAATAATTTTATATTTATATTGTTAAAAATATAATTTTTATATTGATAAGAAGATCAATATTTATACTGATAAAAAGATCACTATATTGATAAAAAGATCACCATAAATCTAGTTAGCATCTTTGAAGTAGTTTAATTTATTCATTGGGTTTTTGGGCCCCACCCAATGGTGCTGAGGGGCTGTTCCTGTCTGTGCTGGGGGTACCACGTGGTGCTGGGATTGAGCCCAAGCTGGCAGCATGCAAAGCCAGTGTCTTAACCCCTGCATGATCCCCAGCTCTGTTTTAATGGACCATTAATATGACGACTTCTGGCATGTGGCACTTTTAAATCTGAAAAAAAAATTCTATTTTAGTTTTTTTTGGCATGCCACTTGTCCCTTATACTAATGCTTATTAGTTTTTTAAAAAGCAGTAGTATTTTTCAGAGCTTTTTTTTTTTTTTTTTGCTTTTTGGGTCATAACCCAGCGATTCACAGGGGTTACTCCTGGCTCTGCACTCAGGAATTACTCCTGGCGGTGCTCAGGGGACCCTATGGGATGCTGGGAATCGAACCCGGGTCGGCCGCGTGCAAGGCAAACGCCTGATGCGCTGTGCTATCGCTCCAGCCCCTTTTCAGAGCATTTTAAAAATTATTGGCAGGTCTGAGTTATTGGATTGCTTCACTCTGTGGGGAAGGGGGGATTTGGGCCGTACCCATGGGTACCTTGGGGGCTCTTTCTGTTCTCAGAAGTGACCCCTGACTTCATATGGGCGACCATATGAGGTGCTAGGGATGGAATCTGGCTTGCCTGCAAACAAGCCAAGTGTCTTAAACCAGGACTGTTTCCTCTGGCCCATGGGTTGCTTTATTTCTAGATGCACTTTTATCTTGAACAGCATTCCTGCAAAGTTGTCGTTAATTTGTTCTTTTTCCATTTTGGTATTCAGTTCTGCTCTCTTTAGTACTTCAAATCATGTATATTTTGCTTATAGAAAAGATTCAGACCAACCATGTGGTCAGGAGCGAGACTTAAAAGGAAATTTTGGTGATATTATTGTATGGACCACTGACTGCTTAAAAAGTTAATGCAGCCTTCATATGTGTGATTGCTATTTTTGTAGCTTGGGGCGAATTGTGAAATAATTTTCTTCAATTTTTTTTCTGCTTCTGCACCAATTTTTAGTGTCTCTAGCAGTTCAGAATAATCATCATAGGATTGAGGGTTTTTCCCTGCACTAATTTTTTATTCATTTTGTTTTAGAGGTACACCTGGCGATGCTCAGGGCTTACTCCTGCCTCTGTGCTCAGGGATCACTCCTGGCAGTGCCCCAGGGGGCCATATGGAAATTGAGCCCATGTTGACCACCTGCACTAATTTCCAATACTTTCTCTGAAGCCTAACATCTTCACTGGTGGTTAATTTAGGTTATTTACATGGCTTTCCCATCTATTCTGGAGGTTCTATAGTGTCAGAGAGCCCCTCTGAACTACTGTGCACCCAGCTCCCAGCACAGAATAAAATAGTCAATAAACATTGATCGAATAAATTGATTGTTCTCAGTTATCATGTTTTAAAAAGAAACAGTGAAATAGCGGTTCTTGATTCGTAGGCACGCTTCAGCTCTTAAGACTGTCCTCCAGAGGTACATTCAGATTCTCTGGAGTAGGGAAGTGACATTTTGGGATCAAAAAGCCACTGAGAAAAACCTACAGGTGGATGCTAGAGACTCGTTTTAATGATTTGCCTAGGTGTTCTGCCAATAATTATTGTGATTTAAAGAAAATAGGAGCTTTAAGACACTGACTTGTTATACTAGTACTGTAATTACAGGCCTGTAATAACTGTAAGTCACTTCTTAATTATACCACTGGGAATTTGAAGTCTTGAAGGTCAGCTAGTCCACTTCCCACATTTTTTAAATTAAAACATAATACACACGCGCACACACATATATGTATGTAAACAATCTCATATGGGAGGAAATAACTTGTTCATAGTTGTTTTCATAACTGGATGAAGAATCCACTATACGGCTGCTGGATTCGCATTTGTTTAATGTGTAAGATAATTATCAAATCAGATGATAATTGAGAACAACCTGGCAATCTATTTGGCATCAGTGTTAATTATAAACTTGGGACATTGAGATAATACTGGGATTAAGGCACCTGCCTTGCATTCGACCCTGGTTTGAGTCTCTGTCTCTGCCACCTATATGGTCCCCAGATACAGAGCCAGGAATAACCCCTCTGCACCTCTAGGTATGGGTCCCCCCCAACAGAAAAAACTCAAAACAAAGTCTCAAGAGAGGATTTGCCTTTCATGAATCTGAGATGTTTGCTAATTTCTGCATGAATCACACTCTCTTTGGTGCCCTTGGCACTG